GCCTCACCCTCTTCTGATTGGAGGGTCAGGATTCGCCTTACTCAGACTTTTGGGTGTCTTTGGGGACCCTGTAACCACTGGTGCTATTGTCAGCACTGCCTCTAACATGGAATTGTCTGGCAAAGGGTCATGAGAGAAGGAAGAAAAGAAAAAAAAAAATAGCCGGGTGTTGTGGCAGGCGCCTGCAGTCCCAGCTACTTGGGAGGCTGAGGCAAGAGAATCGCTTAAGCCCAAGAGTTGGAGGTTGCTGTGAGCTGTGACACCACAGCACTCTACTGAGGGTGACATAGTAAGACTTTGTCTCAAAAAAGAAAAGAAAAGAAAAAGAAAAGAGGGTGCTAACCCATTATGTGTTCGTTGTGAGGACCACGTTAATCTGGATGATGTCCCTGTAGTAGTACCCAGTACACTATAAGTACTTGAGAAATGTCAATTCATTATTTTTGTTTTTTAGGCCACATTGAGTTTAAGTTGACTGAGAGACAACCAAGTGGACATGTCAAATGACAGTGGATTATATGGATCAAGAACTTCACCAAGGAGCAACTGACAGAGGTTTGGGGGTCATTAGCATAGGGGGTGGTTAAAACCCCATGGGGAAAAAGAGAAGTAAAAGGGCAGCACCTGTGGCTCAGTGAATAGGGTGCTGGACCCATATACTGAGGGTGGCGGGTCGAACCTGGCCTTGGCCAAATTGCAACAAAAAAATAGCCAGGCGTTGTGGCGGTTGCCTGTAGTCCCAGCTACTTGGGAGGCTGAGGCAAGAGAATCACCTAAGCTCAAGAACTAGAGGTTGCTGTAAGCTGTGATGCCACAGCACTCTACTGAGGGCAACAAAGTGAGACTCTATCTCTAAAAAAAAAAGAGAGAGAGAGAGCCAAGTTTCTAATCTTGGAAGGCACCAATGTCAAAGGGGCAATAAAAGAAAAAATCAGGACAGAATAATTTTGTTTGTGTGTTTGTGTTTGTTTAAACTTTTTTTTTTTTTGAGACAGAGTCTTCCTCTGTCACCTCAGCCTAGCTCACAGCAGTCTCAAACTCCATGGGTCAAGCAAACCTCTTGGCTCAGCTTCCTGAGTAGTTGGGACTGCAGGCACCTGCCACCACACCAGGCTAACTTTTCTTAGTTGAGGCAGGGTCTCACTCTTGCTCAGGCTGGTTTAAACTTCTGAGCTCAAGGGGTCCTCCCACCTCCATCCATCAGACTGCTAAGATTATAGGCATGAGCCACCTGTGCCAGGCCTAGAAGTTTCTTTTAATCTTTTGGTGAGAATGCTTAAGATTATCTCTCATCTTACTCCGAGCAACAGTCAAGTCTTTACAGCAGCCTACAAAGCCCTGTATGATGTGTCCCCGGCTGTCTCCCTGGTATCATCTCCTCCTAATTCTTGCCATTGCTCACTCCTCTCCAGCAACACAGGCCTCCTTTCCATTCCTCACACTGTCAGGCATGCTCCCGCCTCAGGGCCTTTGCACTTGCTGTTTCCCCTGCCTGGACCACTCTTCCCAAAGTAGCCTCCTGGCTTCCTTGCTTCCTTCAAATGACACTTTATAGATGAGCCCTTCCTGGCCACCCAACATATAATAAGCCCCCCTTACCTCAACATTCACTATTCCCCATACCTTGATTTTTTTCCTATAGCACTTTTCAGACAACCCCCATGCTTCTTTATTTTCTATTTCCTGCCACTTGAATGTGACCTCCAGGAAGGCAAGAATTTTGCCTGTTTGTTCACTGTTCTGCCCAGTGTCCACATCAGTACCTGGTACATAGTAGGGTTTACAACAAGTAAGTGCTTGTTGAATGAGGACTGAATCTCTCGATGCAGGACAATCTGCTGTCTGTAGGACCCTGGGAATGAGGCTCTGCCTGAGGGTGGAAGGCAGTGGACCAGCACTGCCCCATGCATGAGTATCAAAGAGATGTCGGTGGGGGGGGGGGCGGGCTGTGAGTGCAGGTGGGCCTCACTGTACCCTTAGAATTCTAAGGTACTGAATTCTAAGCCTCTGGAGATGAGTGGCATATACCACCCTATCTCAATGAGTGGTCCTTGAGCCCACTGGGCAAGGGAAATTGTTGGCCAGGGTCCAGGTCCATGGCCTCCCTGAGGGGGGTGGCCTTGCTAGATGCTTTGAGAATGAGGACCCTAGTGCTTCTGTCCCCCTACTCTTCAGAGATAAGATGTAGAGAGGTCCCAAGTCTACAATAACGATTGTTTCTGAAGTTTCTCCCCTCATAGATGTCAGCCCCCACCGTCCAGACATGTCTCATGGCAACTGAGTCAAACATCAATAATGGTGGGGGGAAGCTGAACCTATTGACCGGGGGCTGAGACATCCTCCCTGCTAATCAACAAATTAATAAACTCTTCCATGAGGAGGTGGTGATTAATGAACCAATCAGCTCGCCCTGTAATTGGGGAGTGGAACTGGAGGGCAGGGGCGTGACGGATAGAGGTTTGTTAGGAAGTGGGAGGCTGGCTCCTGGTCCACACTGAGGGACCACTTCTGGCCCCACTTTGCTTTGGCTCTAATGGTTAATAGGGAAGTGACTTCTTCAGAGTTGTAGCCTGCGTTTGGGCCGCCTTCCAGGCCCTCCAGCTTCTGTACTGTTTCTCCTCTTCTCCCATCTGCCCCCCAAATCCCACAGTCCCCAAGGCATGAGGGGGTTTCAGGGACTTCAGCTTCCTTGTGGGCATCTCCCAGGCTCCTCCACCTCTCTCTGCGCAGGATCAGTGCTCTAGAAACCCTCTATCATCACCCTGGCTGGTGCTGCAGGTCACAACAGCAAACAGCCCCCACTCTCTGATATCCTTGCCCCTGTTAGCTGGCAGGGGCAGACCCTGACCCCCAGAATCACAGACCCCCAGCCCCCCCATCCTAGGTTGAGCATTTGCCATTTCTCTTTCTATGAAGGAGTAATATTCTCTCATTTCTGCTCTCTCTCTCCCAAACTGGACACAGGCTTGTTTGTTGATTTGTACCTGTGTTCTGGGAATCCTCAGATCCGGGATCCTTAGGGAAAGTGGAGAATCTTCCCCTTGGGCTGGGGCTTGCCCATGATACTGCTGTGCCTCAGGATCTCCAAGGATATGGCCATGACTCTCTTCTGGGACTGGGGTTCTTGGAGGACAGGACTATGCCTTGCCCCTCAGACAAAAGCTCCCTAAGAAAAATGATTTTTATTTTCCTTCCAAGGGTGGGGCCCGTATCTCTGGTGTCCTCTTCCACCTCCGTGCTCAGCAGGTGTCCTGGTGTTTCTTGGGATGTGGAGGCCCGTGGGGCCTGGCCATTTCCGGAGAGTGCAGGTGATTGAACCCATAAAGAGGTTATAGATGGAGCCCTGGACTATCTATCTGAGGAGAGATCTAAAAATAGCACCCACAGCCATCTGTCCTGAAGGCTGGAGGGGCTGGCTCAGGATCGGGTGCCTGGGCAAGATGGCTTCTCTAGCTTGCCTGGACTGATGGGATGTCTGGCAGCATGGGATGGCTGGCCAGACCACAGAGAGGGGGCTGGAAAGGGCTTTATGGCATGACCCCCACAACAGCCTGCTTTCTTCCTGGGGTGAGGGAGGTGTGTCTGGGGGGATTGGCAGTCTGGAGACCCTTCCCTCACCCGGCTTCTCACACAGGGTGGACCATGGACTCAGCCTCCAATGTCCCTGCTTCCAAGCTTGACTCCAGAGCTCCATGGTTAGTACAGTGCTGAGCCTTTCTGCTCTCATGGTTGAGTGAGGCTTCTTTCTGGGGTCTGCCCTGCTCCCTTTGTCCTGTTTGAATTATGGGTGATCTGGGCTGCTCCATAGGTATCAGAGCTTCAGTTTCATCATCTGGAAAATGGAGAAAAACTCAGCTGCATTTAGGCCTGAAATTTTTTTGTTTTTATTATTTTTTTGAGACAGAGTCTCACTTTGTCACCCTCGGTAGAATGTCCTGGCATCATAGCTCACAGCAACCTCAAACTCTTGGGCTCAAGTGATTCTCTTGCCTCAGCCTCCCAAGTAGCTGGAACTACAGGCACCTAAAAAAGCCTAGCTATTTTTAAAGAATAGCCTCTCACGCTGACTCAGACTGGTCTCAAACTCCTGAGCTCAAGCAATCCATTGCCTCAGCCTCCCAGAGTTCTTGGGTTATAGGCATGAG